TTTTTTGTCAGATTTTATTTATTTAATAATTTCATTTTTTCCCCCCCTTTATATTTAAATTTTTCCTAAAAAAAAAAAAGTAAAATTTTCTTTTTTTTTTTTAAATCCTCCTTTTTTCAGATTTTATCGTACGACTGTCATTCTTTTAAATTTGACTTTTCCAGATAACATGTTCTTTGCTCTGCTTTCCTCTGAGGAGCGAAGACATTTCTATTGGTTTGTACAAAGTTTAACAACAACATAATGTCAAAGGAAAAAAGCAACTGAACAAATAGAATTTAAAGATATAGAACCTGTAAAAATCTTTGGAAAACTTAAAATTTGAAAAAGAAAATAGTAATTTGAAGGCCATAAGTTGTGAGAAAACAGATTCCTGTCCTTCATGACATGGGACCTTTTCCAGGGCATTTCCAGACTCTGGATTCTCTCCATTAAGCCAACAAGAACCCTGCAGCTCCTTATTTTCATTTTTTAAGCCTTTTTCAGTCACTTGCATGCATACTAATTCTTTTTTTTTTTTTGTCCAGCTCCCATTTCCTGTTTTTGCATTTGAAAGCTACTTATAACTTTCCTTTGATCCAAAGATGTATAAAATGTGCCATTTTTTAAATTGGTTTCTTACTCTGGATGCTTGTCCAGGGGAGGAATAGCAGTAATGTCTACATTGGTCCTCCTCCCAGCTGTTCCTCAGTGAGGACGCTCTGCTCTGAATGCTCCTCAGCCTTAGGGATGGAGGACATGCAGTTGATTTAGAGACCTTCTTTGTACAGGACGCCTGTTTCCTGCACCTGGAAGTAAAGATGTTCATGATTGTGCATAAACTGCATCCCACACTCCTCCGTGCAGCCTGTATCACCCTCTGCAGCACGTTCTTGTCTGCTGCCATGCCGCACATCGATGCAGGAGCAGAAGAAGATTCTCTTCCATGCATCTTCTAACATGATCATGATTGAGCTCCCCATTCTGTCCTTCATTCTCCTGAGGGAAACTCTGGCTCCGCTTCGTTTGAAGGATATATCCAGGTTAAATCTGTCATCAGCCGCTCTACCTCCCTCTGATATTAATATTTAGGCCTGGCTGGGGGTCTGATTGAAAGACCCCTGCTCTAAGGAGAGGGTTTACAATTTTCTGTTAATCCTTCAGTTTTAAGACTTGGCCATTGTTTATGAAGCTCCACATTTCATGATGCCATAGTAGGAGACATTTTTCCTTTCCTGTGTTTATCGTCACTAGGGGGCGTATGTCATTTTGTGTTCTGATTGTCTGATGGGGGATGGGGTCATTTAAGGTCAACCATGATTCTGTTTAGGTGCTGTTTATGAGAGGAGGCATCAGTTTTCTATTGTGTTTGCCTTAGATTAATGTCAAATTTATGCGTTCATGTAAATGCAATTACTAAAACTACAGACATTGTTCTGTTAATAAATTACTTTATTATAAGTCAAAGTAAAGATCGGCATGATAATCTTAATTGAGCGCATGTAAAACCAGGAATAACCACCAGTAGCCTAAATGATAGGGTTTTAGCCGCTACAGCCATGTTCTCTAAGAAGATTGTTTTATGGAAATAGAACCTCATAATGTATATGTATTAAATTACTATGAGACATGACAACAGATTTAGACAGAAATTGTAATCTTACTCCGATCTGGATGACTGAGAATCATCATCAGCATTTTCCTAAATTAAGTTTTTTTACCCTCAATTTGAGTAGGTAAATTAGATAGTTTGCCAATGGAATGACTATTTCTACTCTTAAAATAAGACACTTAGATAATATGCATTTGAAAAAAGACAATGCAATTGTGTTTTCTTATTTAAAGTGGAAGTTGTCTTGCTCCATTGGTAAAAAGTCTATTTTACCTAAACAGTAAGTAATAGGATTTCCTAAAAGCGCGTTCACGAGTCTACGGAAACCGCGGCAGACCAAACCAGACGAAAGTGCGCATTCAGCTCGGCAAAGAACTCATGCTCTTCCTCAACACTGAAGTCCTCAGACATTTTTCTTTCGTTGTTTCTTTCTTTGCACAGGTAAACAGCACATTTCTTCTACGCTTGCATTATCGGCAGAGCAGACGCTGAATGCGCACTTTCATCTGGTTTGGTCTGCCGGCTTCCGTAGCGTCATGAACGCGCATGCGCGCGCTTTCAGGAAATCCTATACACTACTGTTTATGCTCTAAAAACATTCTAAAGGACTTTGTTTCGAGTAAATTCTGGATACTACCCACTCAGGACACTTGGAATACATTGGACGAGCAGTATGGAGGAATATTGACACGTTTCTTGTGGACTTTTATGGACCTTTCTGCCTCGGGCGCCATAGACCTCCATTATTTGAATGTCAGCAGACAGCAAGAAGCCTCCCAGATCTCCAGATGCATTTGAGATATCAAAAAAGTACTCCAGAGTGTTGTTCAGCATGGGGGTGAGTAGAAAATGAACGCTAATCATGTTTTGGGTGTACTATTCCTTTAAGAAAAAATGACTTATCTAGATTTCATTTTTTTTCCAGTGTGGTGATCCAAAGAGGCCTCTTTCAGACATTTGTTTGGTAATACTTTTTATATTTTATTGTAATGTCTTAAACTGTTTATACCTACAACAATAGGTCATTTCAGTTGGCATCATCTTTTTAATTCTTAAAACTTCTAATGGATGTTGATCTCTTCCCAAACTGTTCTGTCCAGCAGAATTTTCTCCCCTCTGTGCTCCACTCTGCTGATGTGCAGCTTTTCTGTTCAGGAAAGGAAAGCCTGTTTGTTACGCTGGAGAGTTTCAAAGAAAGGGAGATGACCCGACTGCAGCCCGTCACTCCCCTCTGCTACCATGCACAGGACAAAACAACAGATCTCTATCTGCACGTTCAACCTCCCACCGCTGTCATTAAACACACTATCCACTTGTTATTGTCTACGCTTCTGTTCGACATCAGGGGCCTGTTTCAGAAAGGAGGTTAAGTGAAAACTCTGAGTTTGTTAACGCTGAAATGAGGGAAACTCTGGGTTTTCTGTTTCAGAAAGGGAGGTAAGTTAAACCTGAGAAAGCAGAGTAAGTCAAGCCCGTTTCTGAAAGAGAGGTAACTTATACTCAGAGTCAGTTACCATGGCAATTTACTCTGTGAACCTAACCTGGTCGGGAGCAGGTTTTCTTCAGAAAATCCAGAGTTTATTTTGGTCTCCTCCCCTTTTTTAAAGAGGAAGTGGTGTTTAAACACCTCATTGATTCTTTGGGGACATACAGTATTCATTGCACACATTTCAGTCACGTAGAGCGCATCAAAGGGAATGAAATGGCATGTCCTTTTATGGATGATCCTGTTTGTAAAGCCAGGTAGCTACTCTACTCCCATGAAGTGCTCAATGCTTACCTGCTTGAAGTATGTTTTTATATTTCATTTTCAGCTGCTGCCATGTTCTTTTGATGCCTGCAGGATTGCACCTATCCATGAAAACTAAATTAGGTTTAATAAAATACTGTTCTTCCAGTTTCACCTCTGATATTATAACAGTTGGGTAAGTTACTCTAAAATAGTTCTTAATTACTAACTACAAATTTTATCTTCAACAAGTCTAATTAGATTAATGTAGTAATTACTGTCTCTAGAAAGTATTGGTCTACTTACTAATTTGTTTTACTTACTTATTAATTACTTTCTAAATCCCAAATCAACCTCAACCACTTGAACAATACAAGGAGAGACAAGAAACTGCACTTCTAATGCTTTCAAATAAACAATATTCAATTGCATGAATTAATCTTAAATTGACCAAAGTGTGTAACTAGAGGGAGAAAGTTCAAATCGAAATATACCTTTTAAAATTTGATATTAAATCCACTATTGTTTTGTAGTCTTTAATTTAATTACAGTATTTATATGACTTGAGTAACTTAATTCATTACACCCAACACTGTATAAAAGTAATTAAAATGTAAACTTACACATTGACTCGAGCAGCTATTTTCACCCAAGCTAACTCTCTCTCCTTCGCCGCTGCAACCGTGTTGCTTTTTTTTTTTAAATACATGTTTAAATTCTGCATATGCTTGCATAAGCACATCCAGTTCTGCTGGTGAGAAATATGCACACCTTTTTTTGTCTGACGCTGTTGCCATGGTGACTCGTAATATCTGTGCTCCATTGATAATGGCTTTTTATAGTTGTGGTGCACGCGCTTAACTCAGAGTCAGTCAATTTAGAGTTGATTGAACTAACTCATTTCAGCTGTTCTGAAACCCAAAACACAGAGTTTCCAATCTCAGGATAAGTCAACTCAGAGTTCAAGTTTTAACTCAGAGTTGGTTGAACTTCCTTATTGAAACAGGCCCCAGGACTGTAGCAACTGTTGATGATGTGGTTGATAAGAAACACATAAATCATAAAAAGGAAAACAGGTTTAAAGAAGTGGATTCCGATACATGAAGGTCTTGTTCACTGCAAAAAATAAAAATCTGAATAGGTATTTCTTTTCTTGAAATAAGTGCATTTTTTCTTAAATTGAGGATGAAAGTAAGACACTTTGCCAATAGAACAACACAATTTACATTAAAAATAACAAAAAAAAAACTATTTCATTGTCTAATTTTTGATGCATATTATCTAATTATCTTGTTTTAAGAGTAAATATACTCATTCCTTTGGCAAATCATCTTATTTATCTACTCAAATGAAGAGTAAATACACTTAATTTAAGACTTTTTTTTAACTTATTTCTAGATCATTTTTACAGTGTTTTCTACAATTGGAGTAAAAAAAATGAAGGAAACCACGAAATCTCCTTAAATAAAGTTTGATAAACAACACATCTCAGAAAAAATAATTATCTTTGAGTTATTTGTTAAGTTATCGATTTAAATGTAGGTTTCTGGTAAATTTACAGGTTTAATGGGAGAGGAAATATTTTGCTTATTTAAAAAAAAGTAATTGTGCCTAAAGCTTATTATTAACAGAGGATGAATCTTTAACTGTACAGTCTCATGTGGGTGTGTGTGTTTAAAGAATGGGAGGAGGACAGAGATCCACCATCCCCCTGCAAACACTCGGTCCTGTTTGGAGTTCATTATTCGGCGCCTCACCTCAGTAGCAGCTGAAGGTTAAAGCAGCAGCGGAAGGTTTGTGCAAACAAAAATTTTAGTTTAGTCTGTGGAGCTAACAGACATTTATCTACTTCAATGTTTTGCACGTAAAGTCTTTTTACATTCGTTTTCTCTTTGAATGCTTCAGATCTTTGTAGGGGAGCAAACAATGGAGTTCTGGCTGGAAAATCAGGGTCAGTCGCAGCTTTACTCCAGGTTTGGGACTCTTCCTGGGAGAAGCTGTTCACACAAGTGAGTTAAACGAAAAGGTCTTCAATCAAAAGTTGTTTTTGTTGTCTCCCAAAAGTTAGAAACCTTTGGACAATTAACTATAGTAAAAAAAAACATCTTAAGAACAAAATAATTTAGAGAATTAAATCATTCAATAAACTTAACCTCAAATACTTGCATTTAAACTTCGATAAGAAGAAAATCCCATTTAAATATAATAAGATGTGTTGTAATGAAGTAAAGGTGTGAGACTGTTTATACTTACTTTCATACAAACATTTCAACAAGTGAGAGTAAAAAAACTGACATGATTTGATCCGTTAAACACACTTAAATAAAGATGTATGTTTGCTTCTGAGATGTTGTTCCAAACCTCCAGATGGAACAAAAAAACATGTTGTCAGAATTTATGAATGAAATCACAGATGAAATAAATCTCATAAGTAAATAACTTCATGTTGAGTGATAAAAAAAATGCTTAAACTTTAGATGACAGAATACGCTCATTTTCAGGCCAATTTTACCATGTAAATCTGTAACTGTCACACATTTTAAGTTCACACCATTTTCAATTTTTTTTTTTCGGTAAATGTTATATTTTCTGTGTAATAATAGAATTTGCAAAATCATCCATTACACCGTAAGCTTTTTCACAAGAATTATAATGTGAAATCCTCAATGTGCTTTGATCTTATGCGATAGAGCAACACTAAGTGGTGCTTTATTGTGAAGGAAAACGATTTATATATATGGCTGTTTCTATTATTGAAACAGGAGTTTAATGTGAATAAAAAACATGTGTGAAGACTAAAGTTCTAGTTGTTTTACAGATTCTCAGATTCGATCTAAAACTGCATGACAGCTCTGTCTGTATGGCTAAGAGACTTGTCCTGTCGGAATATTAACCATTTGTGCAGAAAAGCATCCTTCTCCACCAATCCCTGTAAATTACGTGGACCTTACTAAAGAAAGAAATCACTTACATTTAGAAACGATTATTTATCTCTGTTTTGGAGTCTATTCTTTACTTCAAATTTCTGCTAATTGTGGTTCAAGACATCTTTATACGTTATATCTTGCTTGATGGATGGATGGATCATTTCTATTGAGTACCTTTTCTCTCAGATTTAGTGGTAATATCTTTTTTTTAGACTCCATAATTATTGCAGTGTATGGGGACAGTGTGTCCAGGGTTGTGTGTACAGAAGTAGCTGTCCACCACAAGCAGAGTTTCTCATTTATGCTAAAGATTTTCTTTTTGATGGAATCTGACTAGAATATCCTGTATATTGTCCTATAAGGTTCCTGTTCTTCTTGAAAAAGCTGTTTGACCTTCAGTGCAGCTCTCTAACTAAAGTTCTAAGCTTTCACAGAACAGCTGAATTTATTCTGAGGTTCAGTTGGTTAAACCTAATCTCCATTTTCATTATTTTAGTAAATCTGACTAAATATTTTTACTTATTTGCAAAAAAATGAATAGCAATCTCCTCTTTCTTCATCAGGCTGAGATGTGAGGTTGGAATACTTTCCAAGGCATGACTACAGGACTAAATATCTGTAGTCATGGTACTTTAACATAGTGGTTCCCAAAATGGGTTGCATGACCTCTGGGATGCAATTAAATTTAGTAAATGATTACTTAGAGAGCCAAGTGTCAATACCTAAGAGGAATTTCATTACACACTCAAGTTAAATACCTACGACCTACCATGGCCAAGGAGTGCAAATGCCACCCAAATCCTTGAATGCACAGCAAATTATCCCGTAAACACAACAATGAGGCTAACAGACAAAAGGTTTTCAAAAGAAAAAATGCTGCAATTGCAGAATATAGAGAGCAGCAAGTAGAAATGCCCACAAAAACTGCTGCAAATAAATAAATGAGGCTAACAAACAACATAAACAAGACACATGCAAAATAAAAAAGGCTGCAAGTAGAAATAAATAGATGCAGGGTTAGAAAAGCTGTAAACTAGGACATATTTATCTAAGTGCTAAATTCAATTCAGTTTGTTTCTATAGCGCCAATTCACAACACGTCATCTCAAGGCACTTTACAGTTCAACCAGATCATAAAATCAGATTGATTCAAAGTTTTCTACCTAAGGAAAACCAGTTGATTGCATCGACTCATTGACTTGAAGGCAATCCCTCACACTAAGCATGCTCGTAGCAACAGTAGAGAGGAAAAACTCCCTTTTAACAGGAAGAAACCTCCAGCAGAACCAGGCTCAGTGTGAGCAGCCATCTGCTGAGGCAGACTGGGGTTCAAGGAGACAGAAGCAGAGATACAAAAGGCACATGTCAATCAGCTCCACAGGCGACCCCATCCGGGAAGACGTGCTCCGTGCCAGCTCCCATGTCAGATGGGTAAAAGAGAGCACATCCAGTTAGTCACGCTCAGAGAAACAGGACTACACTGGAAAAAAGGCTGATCTCCAACATCTATAAACAAAGGTCAACACCTTTGATTATAAATGTTGAAGCTGATGTTTCTCTCCAGGAAAGACTCACAGCAAAACAGGAACAGACCAGACAAAGCTATTATGATGAGAAAAAGCAGAGAGAACATAATGTTAGAGATTGAACTAACAATACTGTAGAATGGGAGAGTAGAGATAGAATAAGGCAAAATGATGAAAAGGGGTCCCTATGTCCTCCAGCAGTCTAAGCCTATATCAGCATAACTATAGCGATAGCTCTGGAAACACTATATACGATTTATCAAAAAGGAAAGTTTTAAGCCTTTCCTTACCACTAGGGGGGGTGATCACTAACACAAATGGTACCCGACCAGAGAAATTGTTATGAATTATTGTCTGTGGCATTCCATCATATAAATACAATGTCCAGAGAAAATTTGAAGGATAAAAGAATAATTATTTTTTCCTTTGGATAAAGAAAAAACTAAACATCTCTCATAGCATCCTGTTAATGCTTTTATGGTATGACCCCATATGCGTTTGTTTCCCCCTAATGGTGTGAAACATTTCTGCTATCAGGAGCTAGTTTGTAGCTTTTCTTAGTTTCTTAGATTATTTTCTATTTGCACCACTTTTTCTTCAGTGCGTGTTTGTATAATTAATGTGTTTGCAGCAGGATTTGTGTTTGCAGCATGTTTTTACTTTGCATCTCTCTATTTTCTGTGAATACAGCTCTTCTCCTTTGCATGTTTTGTGTGTTTTGGTCTCAATCTTTTGTTTACAGGAAGTTTTCAATTTGTTGGAAATTCGTCGATTTGCAAGGTGTTTGAACCTCTCGGGCACTAAAGCGACCAGCAAGAAAAGTTTGGGAACGACTTATTTAACACATTCATTGTTCTTTGTGAAATGTTTTAAATGTATTACAAGTTTACTTTTGTAACATATTTTTTCCAACATTTCACTCACAGCTATCATGACCGACACCAGGCAACCTATAACACAGTGTACTCAGGAGAGCAGCAGAGTCTGGGAAGGGAGTCCAGTAACTGGACAGTACCAGGATCGAGAGCAGGAAGAGCTCTACAGGAATACTGGACAGAGTCAGAGCTGCCCAGCTCTTCTTCTGCTTGTTTCCCTTTTACTTTACACCATAACGATCAGCGCCACCGGGACCTTGGTGAATATCGGCAACGTAACCCCAGAGAGAGAGAGTTGGTGTCTCCAGGAGCTATGAAGGACTATGACAGAGGCTTTCTGAGGGATCCATGGATGAAGAGGTGGGATTAGAGTCAACATTCCCATTACAACAGAGATGTGTCCACAAAGAGGAATGACAGCAGCTATCGGGAGCTGGAGGCTTGGGCGGCTGGGTACAGTCACTCGCTGCCCAGGAGGAGACGTTTAGAAGCAGAGTTAAGAGAGACAGTCCAAGGCCTGTCAGAGAGCAACCGGGCTCCAGAGAGAGAAAAAGCGGAAACAAATTCTAGATTTCATCTACAACATAGCCAACTAAAAGCAAACTGTAGACATTCTGGGCTGTGGGACAAAATAGAACATCCTAATACAGGCACAAACCCCATGAATGAAAAGAGTGATTACCAACCTAGGGTTTTCAGCAAACCTCCTGGATATGTTGGACCTCCCTCCTACAGCAGGCCGCACAAAAGTCCTCCTGTGACACAAAACTGTGACATTGGCTGGCAGCATGTTGGTAATAACCAAGCTAACTGGTCACAGCCAATATATGGAAAGCAGGATGTTCCAGTGGACTTGCAAACCAAGAGGCATGTGGAGAAAGATCTAAGCAATGCATGCCCTGAACTAAAGCAGCAGAGGTCTAGTAAACATAAGGGAGATGCTTCAAAGGCAGACAGGCCCACTGATGCACAGAAACCCGAAGAATTATTAGCTAAACAAACGCAAGCAGCTAATGTTTCAAATAAAGAGAAGGAGGACATTTGTAAGGTCATAGAAGGAAGGAAGTTCAGACTAAAGAAAAAGACAGGAGGGATGACCATATTCTGCCTGGTTTCTCGAATAGTTAGCCCCTCTGAAACCAAGTCTTTACCAGTCTGCCCCTCCCAAACTAGCCCCCAAGTCACAGAAACAGGGGCGCTTTCAAAAGACACACAGGATAACAAGCAAGTGAAGGAGCTTGTTGATGATGTGGACTCCAGAGCACAGGCATCAGAAGAGCAGTCAGATAAAAAGACACTTGGATTTGGAAAAAAGATGATCCCTGAAGAAGACCCGTCAAGTACCGCAAAAGGTGTACTCGAAAAACCTGTATTTGAAAGAAGTGAATCTTTGTCTGTGCAGCCTTTGTTGACCAAATACCCTTTATGGAGGGAGCCTAGTTCCAGTAACAAGACTGACACTGAGAGCTCCAACAAAACCTGCTTGAAAGACACAAAAGGAAGCATGTTAAACCAAGATGGAGGTGAAGATCTGAGAAGCCACTCAGCGGACGACGAAGAGAAGAATCTGCAAATTAAGGACAACGCTGAGGACATGAAAGGTCTGTTCGTAATAGACACCAGCTGTGTTGTTGTCAAAGTAGAGATGATCCCTTCACCAAAGAAGGAGCAAGTTCACTATCTAGGCTCCACAGCAAACGATGAAAGCTGCTCTAAGCTTTATCAAGATGTTACAACCCGCCCAAGTGAGGAGGCATTGAGAAGAAATGAAGACCCTGAAGCTGATCTAGACTCAACACCAATGAACAAACTGGAATACAAAGAGACTGACGTACCCCAGTTGACCTCTCTTTCTGAAAAGGAAACTCTGGCAGAGCGAGCAGAAAGAATCCTTGGAATACCTCTGCATGACGCTGACATCAAACAGAAAAGTGAGGATTATGAACCACTGTGTGAAGAGGAGGAGGAGGCTGAACCACATCCTGCTGAGGACATGCTAGAGGATGTGGCAGAGCAGGTAGAGGTTCCCCGAGTGGAGAAAGATGGAGATGAGATTGGAAATCAGCTAACAAATGATGGTGGTAAAGATTTTACAGACGTTCAAAACCTAGCCACTCAAGATGATGACACTGAGTCCCTCCTCAAAACAGACGACACTTTAACACAAACTGAGCTTAAGAAAGACGATAGGGATGAATCCACCTGTGGAGAAAGTAAAAAGGAAGAGCATAATGTTGATCTCTATAGTTCCTCTTCAGTTCCCCAGAATTTATTAGACCCAGGCATACAGGACGGTTCAGCTTTAGACCTAACTCCTCACCCTGACACCCCCTCTCCTCCTCTTTTTCCTAAAACACCCGATTCCTTTTTGAGCTCCTTTCCCAGTGAAGACCATCTCCCAAGCCCTCCCCGTCTTGAAGAAATATTTCTTGCAGATGATGAGGAGCTGTATGTGGAGACTAAAGATGATGAAATGTTGCATTTGGCTGAAAGTGAGCTCAACAAGTCCTTGGTTACAGAAATAGAGGGTGTCTTGCCACATGAAGACAATAACTGTCAACAGTGGGATGATGTTCCTTGCATTTCTGAAAAGCAAGAAACAGATGAAGGTGATTGCTCTACAGATGAAACTAGGTATGAAGACCCCGACATCTTGGCTCAGCTACTTACTTGCGTCCAAATTGAAGGAGCCACTTCTGCAAAAGGGGAGCAAGATCATCAATTAGAAGAAAGCATTCTACCTGATCCTTCAGTTCAAATGGGTCAGAAGGAAAATGCAAGAAGTTGTAAAACAGAAGAGGTTGGGTTTGATGTGGAGGGGGGTGTTTTTAGGGAGAAAGAAAGAGGCGAGACTCTGGAGCAATCCCAAATAAATCCAGGTCCGATCGCAAGTCTCTCGGAACAAAGACAAAGCAGTGAGAGAAACAAATCCACCCAGACTCAGCCACAGGCGGACACTTTGCAAAACGTTGATCCCCAACGGGAATTTATCGACAATTGCCCTCCTTCACCTTCAAGCAGTGAGGTCCTACACAATCACTTAATTGCTGATGATTTGCCAGGTAGAGACCATGTTCCCCTCTTAGAAACTGTCTCTCCTCTGAATATTGTCACTGCTGCTCCAGACAAGGAAAATTCCTCTGATCCCTTTTATATACAATCGTTTGAAGAATCCAGTCAGTTGACAATTGTTCCTCCCCATGAAGATGATGTCTCCCCAGAGTTCTCTCCAACTGCTGCCCACAAGACAGGATCTCAGTACTCAAAGTCCCTGCTGGAAGTGGTTAATCGTATCAGGAAGCACACAGCGCCTGATTCGGAGAGCGAAGAGGAGGAAGTGAGTGAGAGGTCGGATGCGAGTTGTCTAGACATGGTCGCTGACCTAGAGTCTGAGGAGAACTTTGATGAGCTTTTAAAGGACAGTGCTGAGACAAGGCAGGGCGACCAGGATCACAAAGAGTCAGAGGAACATGCGGATGAAGATGCTATGTCCTGCAGTAGCACCAGTCATGTCCTTGAAAATACTGTCACCGTAGTGGACATAGAAACAAGACCCTCCAGCGAGGTGGAAGAAAAGAAAGAGGAGTCCGACACGGCTGAAGGGGAGGTAAGATGTTCCAGCAATGAAAAGGGGGAATCCCAGTTTAAAGGAAGTAAAGATGAAGATCTAACTATTGGTGGTTCTAGTGAGCACATTCCAGTGGAGGTAGATGTAGATGCTACTGAGGTATTAACCCATTAATTATTACATCCCGCCTGCAGGGCGTATGCGTATACTCCAACAATAGGGCTACTGTCTGCATTAACATGATTTTATGTGGTAGGCTAGACCCTCCCAATGGTTAAAGAACAGCTGCTGATTTCATTTATATGTATTCTCCGGTTTAAAACTGTTTTTTTATGGTTTTGGTGTGGCCATTTAACAGGATAAATCAAAGTAAGACAGCTAACAGTGCTTTGCTGAAGTATTTACCACCCCCCTATCAGAGGTCACATCACTAGTAAATAGAATCCATAAGTGCCTTGGTATAAATGCAGCTGTTCTTTGCACAAACGGCCTCATGAAGATAAGGAAACACAGCAAACAGGTCCAGGAGTAAGCTGTGGAGATGTTTTAAGCTAGAGTGGGTTATAAAAACAACATGCTGAACCACAGGTTCTTAGAAAAGGCAAAAAAACAAAACAAAAAAAAACGGCTAAATGACTGCTCTTCACCTGCAGGCTGGATAAATTCTGCATTAATAAGAGAGGCAGCCTGAAACTGCAGAGATCCACAGTTCTGTTTGTAGATTTTGTTGACCAGAAAGCCAATTTCAAAGGAAGAGCTACAAGAGTTACACGCACTGTAGAATGAAAACATGAAAAACTTTAAGGGGACTTACAAAGCACTGCTTGCAGTATGTATCAGTAGATTTGATTGCTGAGTAAAAACACAGGCATGTTTGCAGTGGTTTCAGTGTGTGGAGGTTTATTCAGCTAGAGAACAGCTGTTGGTGATGCAGGTTAAAATTAATTTTCTTGTACTAAAGTCCCTGTCACACATTGACAATTTAGATCAGCGTATGCCTGACATGCCAAAAACACTGGAATATGTTGGATAAGTTATGGGTCAGTTTTGTATAAGTTATGAGCATGCTGAAACACGGCAAAACATGCCGCACACGTCGACATACGACAAGTATGCCAGCTATGCCATACGTGGACCATAAGTTACAGATAAGTTATCTGATTGTAAGTTACTCATACGTTGTGGTGTCTTGGTTATCCAAAAACTAACGTGCGCATACAATCGTAACTTATCAAGAACTTATCTCCAAAGTATTTGATGTGTTCCAGACGAGTGCTGAACGTGTTTCTAACTTCCAGCTACTGTATAATGGCGCATTGGCAGCATTTTGGTATAAAGGGGGTTCACAGGAGGAAACCATCAGTCCTCCTCCAGACTGCATCCCCATCATAGGGTGAGAAAGTGAGTTTGATGGATCCTCCCTGCGTTTACGCCCACCACCCACAAAGTTCCTTGCAAACATGATGCTGAATCTGCTGCCACTGCAACCCTTCTTTTTTTTCTTTTTTTGGTTGGCGGTAAACAGCAGCTAGGTTAATACCGCGATCAAATACGTCTTTTTATGTAGTCCGGGCGAATCGCTGCTCCCCTCAGGACACAGGCTTGTGCATGATTTCATGGCATTAGGCTGCCGTGCGTTATGCATAAGTTAGGCTGGCGTTGGACATAAGTTCTGGTCTGGTTATGAATACTCTATGTATACACCCAAAATTGGAAAAAATGCTTAGAAAGCTCAGCGTATGGCAGCGTTTTAAGAGACTCTGGAATGTTGGGCATAAGCTGGCTAAATCGGCAAGGTGTGATGGGGCCCTAATTTGCTACTAATATGGTTTAATGCAGATCTTCTATTTTTATTTCCAAACCTTTTGCAGTGAGACTTTATGTGGTTTGCTGAAGCAGAACAGCTATTTTCATCACAGGATTCATTTCATCTCGAACTTTTTGTTCTCATAAAAGAATGAAAATACATTTGCTTATTTTTATATAATTATTGGCCTTAATAGTTTGGAAAAAACAAAACATGTTTGTTTACTTTTTTTTTTATTATTATCTTTCCTTCTTTAATTTGTTTTTTCTCTTTGTTAATCATATCTCCAGTTCCTCCATTTCCAGCTTTGGCTTGGATTGTTTTTCTTTAGTTATAGCTATTTATAAGCTTATTTTTTGAATGTGCATGGTGAAGAGATTTTTGTTTAAATTCTGCATTTTCTTGATTTCTGTAAAGCACTTTATGCTATATTCCACTTTGAATGAGACCTTGTATAGAAATAAATATTAATTTATCAAAATTCTATTGTATTTTTAAGCACATGTTTAGACCCGATTTTATTTTTAATGTTTTAAATGTTTTTCTGCGCATTGAAAAAAATGACAGATTTCTCTCCGTTTTTGCATTTTCATTCTTATTCATTTAGGGTGATAGTGGTGTTCAAAAAAAGTGGAAGAATTAAACCTAAAAGTTGAACATATAACCCTATTAGAGAAAAATTGACTACTGGTTACCAGCTTTAGAAAATGTTTGAATGTAGGCTTTTCAATTATCATGTTAATTTTATTCTTTATTAGTCATGTGTATTGCTTAACTAGCCACATTAGATGGGGTGGACGGCCGTCTTCCAGAGGGTGTATCGCATTGTGTGTGCAGAGGCCGTCTAATGAGGACAGTTTTGTCTGTACAAGCGCAAATGTAAATTACATTTGATATTCCCAGTAAAACTTTACTTAGTGCAAACTTTATACAAATCAGTGTATCTGGACAAAAAACAGATGTTCATTAAATTATTTTAGTTGATTTTTTTTATGAACCTCTATTAATAATTATGTTATGTTGTTATATAAAAGCTGAAGTCATGATATAAATATGTGAAGAATCTGAAATTGATAAAAGCTTAAAACGAATTTAAGATTTTTAGGAGGCTTGTGACATTTCAACGATTTTCTTTCAAAAGTCAGAATGTGGTTTTTAATTCTTTCAGCCCCAAACGTTACATCATAATACTGGTCTGACAGTAGATTTCCCTGATAAATAAATAAAAAATGACAGGGAGAAATTGAAATGAACTTTGTCACCAAAGACAGTGTTTTAATTAAATAATGATGGAAAAATGTCACATTAATAAAGGAGATCTGGTCATTTATGAATAACTGACCATGAAATAGGATCACTAAAGGCTGGATATTTTATTACAAATTCTCACACTTGGATGTAAACCGATTATTTAATAATGTCGATAAAAATGTTATAAAAAAAAAGATCTTGATCATTTTATTTTTAAATAACTAAACAACATGCCACTGAGAATCCAACAGCTTTTTAAAGGGAAAACAAATCTCAAGACAAACTGAAAAAAACCCACTTTAACTGTTTGAAGTTTTTATGTTTTATCCTGTTGGAGATAAAACAGTGACAGGACTTTGTCAGAGTTTTTCTTCCTTACGAACCATTTATCTGGATTAGAGAAACCTATGGAGTGAATGTTGTTCCATTATTATTGCAAGTAAAGAAAGTGTTTTGCAAATCGGAGGAAAAAATAAAAGCAATGCAAAAATGAAAAATTCAACAAAAAACAAAAAACAAAAAAAAGACCCCTTTAATAAAAAGCAGTTTTGAGATCAACTTTACCAATTTATCAGATTTGATAATTACTTTAAAATGTTATTTTTTCTAAATAATTTTTTTTAAATATAATTTTTCAACAAGTCTTATATTTTCATGTTAAACTTTGTTTCAAATATCCCTTTTTCAGACTGAATTTTACCAATTGTGTTTTGCAGATCATATTCTGTTCACTTCTGGGGGCGGGGCTTTCCTCTGCATCGAGGACTGAAGACGCATTTCTATTGGTCTGCTGGATGTTAGTAACAACATTGCATTAGTCATTAGTGAGTGCTTGTATCGGGCTTGAAGTGAAGATTGCAAATCAGTCTGGAAGAAGGCAATTTATAAAACTCAATCTGAAAAATAGAAATTTAAAAAAATAAAATGGGGGATAAAAAATTAGGTTTGAAAAAATTAAATATTAATAAAATGTTTAAAAGAGGTACTCACAAAACCTTTTTTTGACTAAGTTTTTCAAACTTTTATTCTTGGATTGCAATTGTTCCCTCTAATTTCTGTTCAAGTTCTTCGTTGGCAACAATATTGGTACAAAATTTACTCCATAGCTGTTGAGTCTTGTCTTTCACAGAGAGAAGGAAATCAGTCAAGGACACTTTATTAACACTTAATGTTCACAGTCTGAGTCTAATGTTGGAGTGTTTGACAGGTAGACCAGAGAAAGAGTGGATAAATATACAGTACAGCAGAGGGGTAACCAAACAACAGCATAATTTAACTAAAAGTGCTCCTAAATTCTGTTATGTCGTATAAAAAAAAGAAGATTTGTTTACATCTTGAGGCAACGTCCCGAGAAATTACAGCACCCAATGTTTCCGTTTGTCAGAGTCCGTGGCTCTGACGGGGGAACATCAAAGTTCATCGTGGGGAATGTTTAAGGCGTGGTCACAGAGGTCTGCAGAAACACAAAAACCCATCAGACTCTCGCCAACGTCCTGCAGTACGAAGCAACACAGGGTCAAAAGAAAAGGGGAACATACCTGTCCTTTTACTGCAGAGCTCGTCTTTGACGTTATCCGTTTCATGAGAAAAGAATTCAATAAGTTCATCTTCGTGGTGTTCAACAATCGTTTCACACTTTAGGGAAAAAAAGAGAATAAATAAGAGTTAACCTTGATACATCAACCAGATCAGTCTGAAATAAAGGAGAACTGAAACCGAGGAAATAAGTATTGTGTTTTTTTTTTTTTTGATGTAGAAATAATTCCTCTTTGCAGGAGGCTAAAAAGAAAACTCACTGCAAATTTTAAACTGGATGTGACTCTGGAGTCCAGGGTGGCCTCTGAGAGGTCCATTGGCTCCCCGGTGCGAGACTTGACCCTGATGTAGGACTTCCTGTTTGTAGATGGATCTGTGCGCTCTCCATAGTCCTCCATCCTCTCACAGACTCTTTCCATCAGCTCAAGGAGGTTTCCCTCAGAGCGGGCCAGAGGAACCTGCAAGGATAAAAGAAAACCCTTCAAATTGACAACAGAGAACATGGCTTGGCTCAGACTGGAGCGGCACCATATACTGAGCTGCATCGCATCAGTGGAGGCGATATCAGATCCTAGAGGACAGATCAAGTTTTATGTATCGACCCTGAACAGGTTGATTATGTATGTGTTGCGGCTACTCTTGCATCAAAAAAGTTTCCAAAAAAATCAAAAATTGCCAGAGTAGTCTTAGGAGGAGATTTTTCGACTCACAAAACAAAAAGCACTCGTGGAGAATTTTCTTGTTTCAAAATAAGGGTGTTTTCTTTACTAATAAAAAATAACAGAAATATTCTCAGAGTTGACTTACAAAAATTCAAATATAAAGTTAAGTGATGTGTGTGAAAAAACTGTTGCACTCCTCACTCCTTCAAACAAACAATCAGATCGACCTCATCAGCTGCTTCTACTTGTTAATCTCAGCAGGAGGCGGACTGACAAGGAGGAGGGTCAAAGCAAAACCAAGACATAAACAAATACACAATAACTCTACCATTCACATAACCTTAGCTCTTTAACATTAATAATTTTGCAAAAGATAAATGAATCTAATTCTTAATAGGCTCCAACATCCCGGCCCCTAATTGTTAGCCTTAGCAAAATAACAATTACAAAAATAATATTCACAGGAGCCTAACATCTAGCAAAAACATTACATAAACTTAATTCTTTTGTCCATAAATGTTACCTAGAGCTTCTCAACATTTCTAATGCTTAAAGCAGTCCATAGAAAGTCTTATTTCATCCAGCTGCTTCCATTAAAAGACAGAGCTTATCTATTGGTCGCTGGATGACATTGGCTTTGGTTTTAACCAAAACGCTTCTAACAAAACCTTTGGCATCTGGAAAAATCTTTATCACACGACCCATTGTCCATGCGCTCCTTGGTGCCGAGTTATCCACAATAACAACCAGATCTCCAGGGCTGAAGTTCCTCCTTTTGGTGTTCCACTTGCTTCGTTCTTGCATGAGTGGAAGATACTCCCTTGTCCAACGTCTCCAGAAAAGATCTGCAAGATACTGTGATTGTCTCCATCTTCTTCTTGAATATTGGTCTGTTTTCTCAAAGACTCCTGGTGGTATGGTTGCTTTTCCTTTCAGCTGGAGTAAATGGTTTGGTGTTAGTGGTTCTAAATCATTAGGGTCATTCGACACCGAAGTTATTGGCCTGTCATTTAGGATGGCTTCCACTTCACATAATGCTGTTGACAGGGTTTCATCATCCAGTGTTTGTTCCTTAAGGACAGATGTGAGGGTCTTTTTGATTAGACGTATTAGTCTTTCCCAGACTCCACCGTGGTGAGCCCCAAAAGGTGGGTTAAAAATCAATTTTATTCCCTCTACTAAAAGGGTCTTTTGGATTTTCTGATGATTTAGCTCTTTTAATGCTTCTTGTAATTCCTTTTGTGCTCCCACAAAGTTTGTCCCACAGTCTGTTCTGATGCTCATCACTGATCCTCTTCTGCAGATGAATCTGCGTATAGCATTTATGCATGAATCTGTTGTTAAGAAGTTTGCCATCTCTAGGTGGACAGCTCGACTCACCAGACAGGTGAATATGACGCCCCATCGTTTCACCTGAGCTCGTCCCCTTTTTACTTCAATAGGAACAAAGTAGTCAATGCCAACATGACTGAAAGGAGGTAGGTCTGGAAATAAACGGTCCTCAGGAAGGTCCGACATCTTCTGTTCACCAGGTTTTGCCTGCATGCGTCTACAGAATACACAGCTCTTGATGATTTTTCTGGCTAAGGAGTTTGCATGAGGGAGCCAGAATTTCTGCCTTAGCTTGGAGAGCATGTGGCTCCTTCCTGAATGTCCAACTTGGTGATGAATTTGCTGTAGGATGAGGTTAGATAAATGTGAACCTTTAGGTAGAATGATTGGGTTTTTCTGGTGGATTGGCATTGCGCTTTTGTTTATCCTACCACCAACTCTCAAGATGCCACCATCGAGCATCGGATCCAGTTTGAGGATGGTAGTTCTTGAACTAAGAGGTTTGCCTTGTTCCAAGCAAGTAAATTCACAGTGAAAGTAGCGTTTTTGTTCAAAACAAATGATTGCTTTCTCTGCGTTCTGCATGTCCTCCACTGATAAGTATTGCGTCTCGTGTTGATTTTCCAAGTTTTTCATCACTTCTGAAGACAGGTGAGTTTGACTTTTTCTTTGCTGGCTTAGCAGTAGAAGATGTCTTTTAACCTTTAATATCCAGGCTACAGACTTCTGAAGTCGGTTCCATGATGAATGATACTTTATCATCTTGCATATTGGATGTTGATCCTCCATTATCACACTGTTAACTGTGATCTCCTTTCTCACTTCTTGATCATTCGCTGGTATTTCTTTCAGACCTTCTGTGTGTTTCGGCCATGTTCCTTTTTCTCTGCTGAGATATTCAGGACCAGTCAGCCATTTTGATCTTAAGAAAGATTCCACATATAGCCCTCTTGATGCGTCGTCAGCTGGGTTAACTTTTGAACTTACGTATCTCCACTGGCTGGTGTGGGAGAGGTCATGGATTACAGCAATCCTGTTGGATACAAAAGTGTGAAATCTTTTAGTTTGATTGTGAATATATTTCAAGACAGAGGTACTATCTGTCCAGAAAGTTGAATCAGAAAGTGGTAAATGCAGCTCCTTCTTTAGCATTCGATCCACCTTAACAGCCAATGTTGCTGCTGTTAGTTCCAGTCTGGGTATGGTCATCTGCTTTAGAGGTGCCACTCTAGCTTTTCCAAATATAAAGCAGATATGGATTTGACCTTGGTGATTTGTTAATCTGAGGTAGCTTACTGTACCATAGCCTGACTCACTTGCATCACAAAAGTGATGCAGTTCAGCAGTTTCCACGGGATCAAAGTTTTCAGGCTTCATGCATCTTGCAACTTGAAAGTCATGTAGCAGATTTAACTCCTTGAGCCATCTTTGCCAAGGCTTTGCAAATTCCTGGGGAATGACATGATCCCATCCATACTTGGATTTGCAGAGTTCCTGAAGTAACTGTTTGGCTTTCAAGATGAAGGGGGAAAGAAATCCTAATGGGTCGTATACTGAACTCACTGTGAAGAGTATACCTCTTCTGGTAACAGGTCGACTCCTGATGGTGACTTTAAAGCTGAAGGTATCACTGAGAGTATCCCAGTGGAGTCCAAGTGCAGACTCAACTGTTATTTGTTCTTTCAGCTTTTCTTTATCCAGATCTAGTTCCTTGAATGCTCCAGCTCTGTGATGTTCAGGGATGCTTGCCAGCACTTCATTGCTGTTGCTGACCCATTTTGTTAATGTAAAACCTCCCTCACTGCAAATTTTGGTGAGATCTGTGACAAGCTTCATTGCCTGGTTCACTGTTGCCACTGATCGGAGGCAATCGTCTACATAAAAGTTACTTTTAATGGTTTTGAAAATTTCATCAGAATAATGTTTCTGGTTGTCAGCAGCAGTTTGACGCAGAGCAAAATTAGCAATGCTTG